TATATATTAAGTGATGAATGATTCTGAAAAAAGAGTCTTTTAGTCAAATCTTCGTTAACGAAAAATTGATTCCAAGTCCAGATTAAAAGATTTTAAATTATTCTGTATATGAATGTGATACTTTGACATTTGCAAAGATAAGAAAAGATAAAATTTAGAGAAATTATATAAACTATTTAAATATGTCACATAATTACTATGAAGATATAATTAGAACAAATATAGCATTAAATAAGTAAATCGCTTTTAAGCAAATATAACAATGCAAGAAGAAGTTTTCAATGATAAAATTAATAATTATTATGTTTTAAAGCCTTTAGTTAGTTTTCAATGAGCTTAAAATTATTATTTTTACTGGTTGCAAAATTATTATGTTGCTCTATTTATTCATTATTTTTAATCGATACAAATTTAATATTCATAATTTATTTTAATATATAATTTAATAAAACTATTATACTAGTTATAGACGCCAAAAGAATAATTTGTGTTGGTAAAGCGAGAGCAACGGAGAGAAAAATCCGAAGAACTCTTCCGTGAGAACATAACGGCGCAAATGCGGTTATTGTACGTGCCTGTGTAACTTCTTCCAGCGTGACAATCCGCATCAGCAACATTGTGTCTCCCATCTCACATGTGTGACATTTTATTAACATGTTGTTTCAAAATCGCGCACGGAAAAAGACTGCGCGCGCGTCACGTGGGATGCGTATATCACGCATAAATGACTATTGATCGATCGCAACTCGATCCGATGGTCGCGGGCCCGGCATGAATATCTGTCGGATACTTTTCATCCATAACGTTGATGGAAAACAGATTGCTGTATCCTCTCCTCGCCTATTCGTCTCGATACGGGGGCCGTGTAAATATACACGCGATATCGGATTTTCGTTCACCTGCAAGAGTAACAGAGGCGCGAGTAACAAAGGGACCGGCTTTATTCTCAGCATGTTATCATCGCGCCCGCGGAATATGGATGCGGATCCGGGAAGAATATTGCTTTTCACACGGCATATTGTGCACTGCGCCCGCGTAGCGGCTGCGAGATCTGTCATTAAATTTTCGTTCGCCCGTAACTTGTTTGAAACGGAAACAGCCGGCGCGTGCGAATATGTATTCGCGGACGCGGAGAATATCGTCGAAGCTGTTTGACAGATGGTTCGTGCATTGTAGAGATGTGTATTACTGCGCTGTACAACTATATTCGATTTGGTCATATGTCAAAGTTATGTTATACAGCAGGCTTTTAAACATCTAATTTGTATTCCGTTACATTTATACATTTATTCGACGCGACAATTATGGATCGATAAGTATTATTTGGGATTATTCCAATTTTTAAATAAAAACAGACACGATATAAAACTTTTAGCGTGTTAATATCCTTTAAACTTTATGTAGAGGTAAAAATAAAGAATTAAAAATTGATAATCTGTTTTTATAATTATTTTAAATTATATAAAACATCCGCGCATAAATTAAATCTTAGTTTTTAATTTGCGAATTAAAATTTTGTTTTGAATATTACATTTGAATGAATAAATCATTATCTGATAATGTTGGATTATATATTCGAATTTAATAATTAATTATTTATTTCTATTTTGATATTTGCAAATAGTTGTGTGTATTATTATTATTATTCTCTTTTTAGTGGAAACTTGGCGTCTCTTTAAGTGATTTTTAAAATTTTGCAGTTTCCTGATTAACTTTCTTACATTTTTCTGGTTTTACAGTTTCCTGATTAAAGACCGTTAAGTGTCTTTTTATTGAGCGAAATTTTGCTTGGAAAGTCTTCTATTTCAGCACGAAACAGGATATTTCCTTGCGAACTCGAGAGTTCCAAAGTGGAGCGCGCGAAAATCCAGCGGCGTATCATCGTACAAGCGATGGATGTCCGTAATAAGCGTCTTAATGGCGGCTAAAGCTGTAATGACTATAACAATCATCGTAACCGTAACGGGCATAATAATCGTAATGATCGCACGGAAACCATAACGATACGACGACGTCGCTAAATTCGAAGGATGCTGCAAAATTCGCGTGGTCTCCGCTCAACCAAGGCGTCTGCGGGAGAGGACGGACGCTCATAATTTCATTGCAAAATCACTGTTTCATGGGGCGGACTTAATTCGATGAAGGGTAATCCGTCGAAAGTCAAGCTTGCAGTGACCGAGCAAGAATCATTGATGCTCTCATTCGTTCTTCGCGGCGTCCTGTAAACAGCGTGCTGCAACGGTGTGTGTACCTATATCCGCCCATGTGTAACACACAGCTGTGCAGACTTCCTGACCGTGCCGCGGAAAGGCCAAGTTGATGGATGATGGCCAATTTTTCTCTCCGAGAGCCTTGACGACTGGCCGACGTAAGTGAAAATAAATAGTCTCCGAGTTGGGACATATCGTCTCGGGAATCGCGCGCGGCACCGTTAAATTTCTACGGTGCGATGGAAATCAGCCGCGACACTAAGCAATTATTAAGCAGCCTTATCCTTTTCATCTCACCGAGCTCTACCATGTCGACAAATCTGGCCGCGCTTGTTTAATAATTTATCACTCGCGCCTTTCCGCCCTGCATTAGATTGCATCGTTTACTCGGTTTAATGTTTTTTTAAAAGCTTGCGCCCATTTATTCTCGCTATGTGCTTCTTTTGCATGCGTAACAATTAATATTAATGAGACAAGCACATCTTCTACAATTTATAAATTAATAGTCTTTGCTAATAACGTATATTGCATGATGCATATTTTACAATAGAATCATTAAGAGTAATCATATATTATTAATGGAATTTATGACTGATTTCATCAATCTTCTTCAAGTTACCGTTGAAATTGTTAAATGAATGGTCTATCATATTTAACAGTTTATTAGGGATATAAGAAATTTTGCGATCATTGGCATTAAGATATTGCATCTGTACAATAAAACAACCAAATTAAAATGATCGTCAAAGAGAAATACAACGAACATATTCTGTTTTATAAAAAAATGTCGTACTTAAAAAGATCCATTAATGTTATAGTATTCCCTTTTATAGTTTTCCACATGGTAGTTTTCCACATCTTAACGTTACGTTGATGTATCTGGGTCAAAGTAATATCCATGCGGGAAGAAATTTTACGATGGATCCAAACCGCATCAAACTACGCGATTGCTATCTCATCGTTCATGAATTGATACCCATGATCGTCAATAGGAATTTGTCGTCAATACGAATCTGCGTAAAACAAATCGTCCGTCGTCAGTAAAGTCAACGGGAAGAAGCCGGTTGAAAAAGCATAGCTCGATTCTTTCGCGCGCGCTTGAACAAATACCCTCGCTGATTTACATTTTAATGGATCTAAATTGAAATCTGGTAGGAAAGGGAGGAGGTGCGCCAAGATAAATTGCACCGCTTGCGGTTATATGGCGTGTCCGTTTAAAGCCCTATTTATTTTTTATCACTTATATTGCCGTCGCGAATGTCGACGTCGACGCGACGACGATTTCTCGTAGCGTCTCGCTCGTGCGACAAGATGTCTTCTCACGGATGCTTCCACTCGCGTCGCCGAGACGGCTGTAAATTACTAATTATCCTGAGACAGCTTCCAATTTTAACTACTTCCTCCTTTTACTCGTTTGAACGAACGTTTCGTCAAGTTGCGCGTTTTGCGCTCACATAACATTTTCATTATACTCGTTACGAGTTTGCAAACAAATTTAAAACAAACAGATTTTAATTTTTTATTGCTATTAAAAATAAGACTCTGTATTCGCGATCTTATAGCAAATTGCGCGCTTTCGTTCCAACCAAATAAATCATTTGTCAAAATTATTCGCGTTTTTTTTCTTCTGAATTTTAATTTATCGCAATGATTTATAATTCATATTAATTTTTATTTCAAACTTCCTATAAAATGATAATGCTTTTTCAATTTAACATTTCACTAAGTAAGTCTAAAGATCTTTTGCTTCGTATAATTAAATTTTTATCCGTCTTAATAGCTTTTAATAGAGATCCAAGACTTTATTGTTACTATTGTAGATTATTATTGATTTAATGTTACTGGAGATAATTACAATATGCAATTGATGAATTTTTAAATAATCTAAAATAACAATATTCTTGGTATCGATAAGATCTATCAAATTTGTTTCGCTACAGAGCGAGAGAATAAAGTAGATTATTAAGTTATTCGAGATATAATGATCGAGTAAATTTGCGGAAATAATATCGCGGAGACTATTTAACGCTATATCGAGCTATTCGACGTTTAACTGCATCTTCAATCACAGCGAGTGAACGGCAGTGAATGGCAATCTCTACCGTGGCAACGCTACCGTTTTTACGGTAATCGATTTCTCGTCGTTTTAGCAGTAATTTACGAGGGGCTCGAATATTCTGGGAGTAAAGTTATCGATCTTCGATTGCATCGTTTACTCGATTTAATGTTTTTTTAAAAGCTTGCGCCCATTTATTCTCGCTATGTGCTTCTTTTGCATGCGTAACAATTAATATTAATGAGACAAGCACATCTTCTACAATTTATAAATTAATAGTCTTTGCTAATAACGTATATTGCATGATGCATATTTTACAATAGAATCATTAAGAGTAATCATATATTATTAATGGAATTTATGACTGATTTCATCAATCTTCTTCAAGTTACCGTTGAAATTGTTAAATGAATGGTCTATCATATTTAACAGTTTATTAGGGATATAAGAAATTTTGCGATCATTGGCATTAAGATATTGCATCTGTACAATAAAACAACCAAATTAAAATGATCGTCAAAGAGAAATACAACGAACATATTCTGTTTTATAAAAAAATGTCGTACTTAAAAAGATCCATTAATGTTATAGTATTCCCTTTTATAGTTTTCCACATGGTAGTTTTCCACATCTTAACGTTACGTTGATGTATCTGGGTCAAAGTAATATCCATGCGGGAAGAAATTTTACGATGGATCCAAACCGCATCAAACTACGCGATTGCTATCTCATCGTTCATGAATTGATACCCATGATCGTCAATAGGAATTTGTCGTCAATACGAATCTGCGTAAAACAAATCGTCCGTCGTCAGTAAAGTCAACGGGAAGAAGCCGGTTGAAAAAGCATAGCTCGATTCTTTCGCGCGCGCTTGAACAAATACCCTCGCTGATTTACATTTTAATGGATCTAAATTGAAATCTGGTAGGAAAGGGAGGAGGTGCGCCAAGATAAATTGCACCGCTTGCGGTTATATGGCGTGTCCGTTTAAAGCCCTATTTATTTTTTATCACTTATATTGCCGTCGCGAATGTCGACGTCGACGCGACGACGATTTCTCGTAGCGTCTCGCTCGTGCGACAAGATGTCTTCTCACGGATGCTTCCACTCGCGTCGCCGAGACGGCTGTAAATTACTAATTATCCTGAGACAGCTTCCAATTTTAACTACTTCCTCCTTTTACTCGTTTGAACGAACGTTTCGTCAAGTTGCGCGTTTTGCGCTCACATAACATTTTCATTATACTCGTTACGAGTTTGCAAACAAATTTAAAACAAACAGATTTTAATTTTTTATTGCTATTAAAAATAAGACTCTGTATTCGCGATCTTATAGCAAATTGCGCGCTTTCGTTCCAACCAAATAAATCATTTGTCAAAATTATTCGCGTTTTTTTTCTTCTGAATTTTAATTTATCGCAATGATTTATAATTCATATTAATTTTTATTTCAAACTTCCTATAAAATGATAATGCTTTTTCAATTTAACATTTCACTAAGTAAGTCTAAAGATCTTTTGCTTCGTATAATTAAATTTTTATCCGTCTTAATAGCTTTTAATAGAGATCCAAGACTTTATTGTTACTATTGTAGATTATTATTGATTTAATGTTACTGGAGATAATTACAATATGCAATTGATGAATTTTTAAATAATCTAAAATAACAATATTCTTGGTATCGATAAGATCTATCAAATTTGTTTCGCTACAGAGCGAGAGAATAAAGTAGATTATTAAGTTATTCGAGATATAATGATCGAGTAAATTTGCGGAAATAATATCGCGGAGACTATTTAACGCTATATCGAGCTATTCGACGTTTAACTGCATCTTCAATCACAGCGAGTGAACGGCAGTGAATGGCAATCTCTACCGTGGCAACGCTACCGTTTTTACGGTAATCGATTTCTCGTCGTTTTAGCAGTAATTTACGAGGGGCTCGAATATTCTGGGAGTAAAGTTATCGATCTTCGACCTTCGCGAGAAAGTTAAGTCTTTCGGCATAGCTCTCTCGACTCTCTCGACATTTCGTGGACTGAAAGAGCCGCAGATAGCTCAGACGATGAAGACCGCACGAATTAGCCTTACGAGCGACGCGCCTGATGCAATTTCGCGGATCTTACGTCTACTCCGGATTATCTCCTGGCTTACGACGAACGAAAAGTTGATTACTAATCGCATTTAATCTCGGATACCTACCAGGGAAGTGATAAGGTAGCTGTGATAGTCGCTCATCATTCCGATCTGCTGTGCCTGTTTCAGCACGTCATAGATTCTCTCGGTGGAGCAGTCCAGCACGATATGCGATTCCGCGGAATTCTTGATCTGTTTTAGTAGCGGTCTGAAACAGAATAATAATTCGTTATTAAAGATAAATAAAATGGCTCAATAATTAAAAAATAAATGAAAATGAAAGTAAGTATGAAAGCAATGCGAGCGCACAGATGAATATATGATGAATAAAAAAAAGTCTAAAAATATCGAAAGGGACCGCTATCTCGTGCATGAATATTTCAGTATCTACATTTTATACTTTTCAATTTAAGGAATACAAAAGGGAATACGGTTGGGCCAAAGAGTAAGTAGCTTAGAAAATAAATAAACTCGTCAGCCGCGGAATTAATTAATGAAGTATGTCGACTTAATTAATACAAGAAAGACAAATGTCAAATATAACATCAAGTTTGTGTGGGTATGGAATTTTCGCGGGATCCGTTTGCTTTTGTGACGCTCTT